CGGGGTCTATGAACGAGTCGAATGTTTGTAGCGAATGAATGAATACTTTCAACATCTACATTCAAGTTTCGTCTAAAACGCCTTTGAACTCGTGTTGTAACATCATTTCACTCTCATAGATTCCTTCAAACATCAATTCTATCTAAAACAACAACAATGCAGGAAAATAACATCCTCAAGACACAATAACCTCTAACCTCCACCAAAAAGAAACATAAACTACACAACCCTCTCATCCTCACAGATCATTCTGAAATTTAAAACCCGCAAGACACCATACAGGAATCGCATTCTAAACTCCAACGCCTCATTAACCACTTGCGCTGGAAATGAATTTAGAGATTTGACATAGTCTCGCGCGATGAATTTCGTTTTTACCTACTTTACTCAGATGTGGACATTAATTTCGTGTTAATCATTCTGTACAGAGTGATACATTTCGAAACAATCTAATATGCGTAATGCAACAAGATAATCAATGTGTAAAAGACATCGTTGACCATTTTGAAACAAACGTCTCGACATGCGTCTTTCCAGCGCAAGAGGTTAAAACCAGACACCGAAACCTCCAATCTAAAATCCTACACCCCGCTCAACTCCAACAATCTCAACTGCATTAAAGAAAAATCCGTCGGAAACCCGCGCGACTCGGCCCAGCGCAAAAATCACCGTCAATCCTCTGGAATCAGTAAACAATCCGGAAGATCGAGAGATCGGGCGGGCAGAAGGAATGGAAGGAAATCGCGTGAATCACGATCTAAAGCGCCGTTCGTTTCGGAGGGTTGCCGAGGGTCGCGGGGCGAGGCGGGGTCGGCCGAGGTCGGCGGGCGAGACGCGGAATCCATTGCGCGAGGACATCGGTCAGGATCTGGCTGTCGATAGCTCGAGCTTTGCCTCGGATTCTCGCGCTCTCCTGCGCGCCTATGCCTCCGGGGTGCTTCGCGTCATAAAACACAGGTAACCCCGGTATTTATGTCCGTCGTTTTTACGCCCGTCGCTGGCCGGTGGCCGCGCCGGCACTCGCAGCGCAGCCCGGAACCTACATATCGGCGCGCGCGAACGCGCTCCGCGTCTCGCCGCTGCCTCGTGACTCCTAGGCAGTCGGATCGCTTGACGCTAATCCCTGTCGGGGAACGAAAGGGGTGGCCGAGTGATATACGCCTCTGCGCCGCTATGATAATATTCACCCTCTCCGCCCTCCGCGCCGCCGACCCATGCCCCGAGCGCCCGAAGACCGCCCTTTTGTTTCGCGACTAGCAGCTACCTCGTCGAGCGACTTTTCCGCCGCTGGAAGCTCGGACACGGCTGATGATTTCTCTGGGAACCGTTCGCGCAGAGCAATCCGCTCTCGATGTTCCGCAGCGAGGAGAATGACACCTTCGGCCGACTTTTAGGCTTCCTCGTTTTCGAGAGGAATTTCGTGTTCGTGGTCTACGTTGGGGTGAGTAGGTGAAAGTATGAACGATAAGTTCTGTGGCGATATTGAGTAAGTGGTTTGATAAGGTGGATTAGGATAAGAATGTTTTGGGGTGGAACTGATTTGGTTTGATTGATTAGGGTAATGAAGTGTTCGTTGAATTCCAATGCGAGTGGATTTAGGGGTTATGGTTTTGGGGTCTCTGCTGCTTGTCGATGAACCTTCGTAGGAAATATTGAAAATTGCTAAACGTTGATTTTATTATTCGAGTGCGTCAGATATAGGATATTAATTACTAAATGAACCAATTTTCAACGAAACAGTCTTCGATCTTAGAAACTTCCTCATGTCATCCTTCCTTATCCCTATCACTAAATCAAGGATTAATTAATCCTCTTTTACAAATCTTCCCGAAAAACACTGCTTACCATCCCCTAACTCCAAAAAGAACTAAGGTACAGTTGCAGTCATCGAACGTTGACCGCAAAATCAAGAGAAAATAGGTACATCGAGTTGTACGTGAACGGTAATCGATGAACACCGACTGTCCCCGTTTATCCGTTCCACTGTCGGCCGATTAAAAGGTGTTGGATATGAGCGGCGCAACGGTAGCCAGGTAGAACGGCTCATTTCAATTTTTCGAGCGACGCTCACCGCTCATCTCGGCTAAAATCATTCCTCATCCGCATTCGCGATATTAAATTGGCATGGCGGAGCCCGCGAGCGAGCACGGAACAAATATTTGCCCCAAAATGGTCAGTGCGCGCGGGCCGCGTGCAAAATAACGGAGGCGAAAAAACGGGGAAAAATGTACACGGGAATCCGTATATGAAGCGACCGGACGCAGGCGATCGGACCCGTTCTCCTCGTGGCATTATGCGCGCGATACGCGACGTGACTCGCCGGCAAACATCATAAATTTTCGATTTATTTAGCAAATCTGTTTGCCCGCCTCCGTAGATGATAACGATTGCCCGACATCCGTCCCCCGCCGTGTTATCGGTGATCGGCACCGGTCACTGGATCGCGTGAGCTGCGCGTTTGACGGTCGACGGCTCCGAACACTTTTTTTCCCCGTGAATTTCGAGCTGCGAAACGTGAACGCACCTTCGAAGAAGCCTTCGCAACCAGAGTTTCTCTTTATCTTGTATCTAATTTGCTGTGTTTAATTGAAGAACGTAAATGGAGTTTGTATTAGTTGGTTAGAGAGGAATCTTTGGGAGATTGCGTTGATAAATTCGGAAATTTAAGGGTTGAAGGTCTGCTTAGTCTAAGATCGCGATTAAATCTATTAATTTGGGAGTTTGTGATAAATATGAGCGTTAATTATACTTATTAATCTATTAATTATAATTCTACTGATACGAATTTCATAAAGATTCTTTATTCATCCTCATAGCACAAAATTCACGAGAGATTGCCTTCTGTACGCTGATTTGTCCCAAAATTCTGTTTCGAAATTGAATTCTCGACTCAAATGAAATAATCGAAAAAAGAGGAAAACTCAGCTAATTATCCCTCGTCGCCCCTTCAACCCCGTTCCGTCCGCGTCCCCTAGCAAACCGTGCACCCCGTCTCGAAGCGATCAAGACCGTCGAACGGTTTTCAGCCAAGTTTTTCGCGAAATTCGTCGAATCAGGAGGATATCACGGATATATAGGGAATCACGGAATAGAACGGCGAGCGTTTTCGGGCGGCGCGCGGGGCCGGGAGGGGTCGCGGGGTGGCCACGAGATGGGTGGAAGGGAGGTGAATGTGGGTGGATGGGAGTAGAGTGGTTGGCTGTAAGCGGCTTTGGTTTCCATGGCAGTAAGCCCTCATTACTGTATTACGGGCAGCCCCTAACTACCAGCCGTACGCAACGATTTGCCTCTAGAACCTCTATGAGGGTGACGGATCATGCAAGATTGTTTTCCGCGTGTCCGGGAAAACGCCGATATTCCAATCTGCCGGAAATATTTCCAGCGTGCGCGTGTATTCTGCGAACGGATCGCGTCGGTGCCGCGTTTCGAACACTTCCAAGTAGAAAAATCAGTGATTTCCACAGTGGAACAACGGAACACACCCTTAACACGTTCGCCGGCACGCCATCGGAGCTACCGAATCGAACAATTGAGACAAGAAGACAGAATAAAAATATTCAGTAAGTAGATAATAAAACACGGACTGTGACAAATGAATTCTCTACGTATCTTCTTTATAAAAGAACAAGCAACAAAGCCTGAATACTCCCACGACAATCGATGCGTTAACTAATGAAAATCCTACAAAGTGCACTCGATCACCCCGAAGACGTTGCGAGACACTCACGAAGATTGCCAGAGCGAGGAAACCAGTGGTACAAAGAAAAGTAGCTGAAAAAGGAGTCGAAGAGAACTGAGATATTTGCAAATTTGCGTGCTTCCGCGGGGCTTGACAAGGGTGGCCGAGGAAAAACGCTGGCATTTAAACCGCCGACGTTTAACGGTCGACACCCCTCGGAATCCGGCAGGAGGGGGAGTAGTAGTGGGTGTCGAAGGAAGATCGTCGATATCGCGTACCCCGCAATTTCCTTTTCCAATTTGCCATAAACAAGTCCGACCAGGCCGCCCCTCGTTAACCTTACTACCGCGTTCGTGACTGCTCTCTTGAAAGTCTCGCGAGGCGCGGGAGGGTGGACGTCGCGTCGCTGCAACTCGGTCGAATTAAAGGAATTAAAGGACGCCTCGTTACTCGTATCTTCCCCGATCCTCGCCGCCCTCTCGGCCGGCGGAGGGAAGACGGCCGGAGAAAGAAGGGGAGGATGGAAAGGGACAGGCGAGAAAGACGGCGCGGAGGAGCGAGGGGGACGAAAAGAAAAGGGAGAGGACTTTGTTCTTTCTTCCGCAAGCGGGAAACTCGTCCTGCGACGAACGTTTGCATTAAGCGGCTGTAATGGCGGCGATTATTGGCGCGCATTATTCAGCGACCTACGAACTTTCTCTCCCCGCCGCCCTCTGCCCCGTTGATTTTTCTTTCGCCGGTGTCGTCTTTATCCTCGAGCGGGAACGCTCCTCCTCGCCTCGCGACTCAAGGAACGCTGAATTATTGAAACGCGGAGAGGCGGGAATTAAAAAATCTCCGCGACGGCCGGCCGAGATATCGAGTCACGGTATTTGCCGGGTGAATTAAAAATGAGGATGAAACGAGGGGGCCAGGTGGCCGGGGCCACGGCTCGGCTACCCGTCCGACGAGAAACGAGGCCATCAGTCGGCCCACCGACTTAATGTACCGACCCCTGAATGATTTAACGCGCCCGCCGACCTGGAAAGCTTTCTTGGATCGGCCGTACGCGTGTGCTCGCGGCATTTTTCTTCTTCTCCCAGCCGATCGTTGTAGGGCGAACCCGGTCGCGGTTGTTTCACCCGATGCTAATGGGGTGTTCCGGGGATGAAACGTTAAGAGGGTGGAAGAGATTGCTTCGTTTCGTGATTGCTGAGTATTTTAGAAAGTGGACGATGAGAGGACATAAATTACGATCGAGTGAGGAATCTTTCTACATGTGAAACGCAATGGTACTTTCTATAGAATTCGAACACCGTGTATATAGATGAAAACCTCTCACCTCGACCGCTTCTGCCGACGAACCTGAGGTCGTTGAATTTCGCGACCTGGTTCTTCATCACCGCGGTGGAATTCCTCAATTCCGCGCAGCAGTTCTCGTCGTTCCCTGCACGCACCGTCACCAGAGTCCCGTCTCCGACGTCGCCCAGAGCCACGACCTTAAACGCTACCGGCAGCGTCTTGTTCGACCTCCAGTGTGCTGGTAGCACCGTGCAAACCACGTGCGGGGAGCCTATAGACAGAGATCGCGGGTGGAACTGTCAATGATCGGTAGTCCTAGATTTAACCTGTCTCTACATTGAACACTGAGAACTGTCATGTAAAGGTCCCTTTAACTTACAAACAAAACAGTCGTGTACAATATATAATCTCCGATGACTAACAAAACTAGACTCGTTTAACTCGTTCACTAGTCAATAAAGATTCTTTCATACGACATTCAGATTGATTCATATAATTCAATTCAATCAACATCGAAGAGTACAGTTCCTCTCACCTGTTCGCACCAGTTCACCAGGATGCTCAGCGAACAAGCCGTCCAAAGTCCTTTCGGCGAGCAGATCCGCGGTGAGGGCATAGTCGGACAAATTGTTTCCTGCGGCGGATCCTTGCGGCGGGACCTCGTTGGCCAGGTGCATCCTTCTCCTCAAGGACGACGCCCTCGTCCTCCTGATCCTCGGCCCACCGATCTGATGCACCGAGTTCCCCTGATGCGGCTGGTGGCCGTTCCTAGCCACCAGTCTCGGGTCCGGATAGTCTAAGCCTGGAGGCCGATCCTCGGGGCGCGCATCTCGTAAAGGATTCGTCATGAGCACAGGATCATCGGTCCCCTTCTCCGTGATTTCCTCCTCGCCGACAAGTTTCCTGTCAGTCGACTCAATCTTTTCCCAAGGCTTCCTCTTCCTCTCTGAACCAACGAATACCAGAACGAAATGAGACTCAAACGAACCCTAAGGTCCCTCGATCCATCGGGTGTCCTTCACTAAACTCGCGGAACGGCTCTCGCGAGAATTCGTCGGTTGCGCAAGTATCTGAATATAAGCCCTCTGATCCGCTCGCGGGCTCGAAGCCTTTCCGTGGCAGTTAATTAAGCCGACAGGGCACACGCATCGCGCGATTGCGACGCGTTCCCTCGATCAGAGCCACGAGTCGAGAGAGACGCGCGGCACGCGCGACTTCACGCTGCGCTTCGTCGGCCCCGCGTGGCCCAGGACCCTTTGATCCTTATTTCATTATCCCGCGACCGTGGTCGTGGGAGGGTAGCATCCGTTTGCAAATCCTTCGTACCGTCCTCGATTGCCAAGTCGCGGGGAAAATTCGTTTTATTGGAATCGAACGGCCCCCGACCCTCGCTTCTTCTTTTCTTTTGATCGAGACCTGCCCCACACTGCCAGCGGTCCACGGTCGATCTTCGACTGTCCCCTCGCTCGACGACCAGCAACCAGATACGATTTCGCGCGGTTTCACTCGCACCCCTTTCGATCCGCTGTTAATCACACTGACACTCCTCGGGGACCGTCTAACAGGTGCGAACGCTGGATCCTTGATCATCGGCGGCACAAACTCCACGTCGACGCATCCCACACTGCGCCTTACCCTCGGAACTCCCGGTGATCACTGACAGTTCACCAATCACGCTTCCAATTTTCACTGAACAGAGAACTCCAAGCGTCTTAATATATCTTATAGCTGTCACTTGTAGCTACTCCAGCGATGTTCCAAAGAACAACTCCAACCGATTCAAACCTCTATCCTCTCATTACCACTTCGTCAGCCTCATCCCAAGCTACAAAGTCTCCCAAGCGTCACATGTGTCACAACCCAGTCCAAACCCGATCACCGAAACAACCGTCAAATACATCCACTGACACTGAATCACAAAACAAAAATCACGTGTCCAAGGAATCCCCGAAACATCCTTAGCAAGTCAACAATCCACTGATCCTTTAGAGCCAAGTCTCACGTCTCTCCCAATATCCACGCGTCAGCCAGCAAGAGCAACGCAAGAAATCTCCGAGAAAGAATCCGGATCGAATAATTCCGTTGCGAATCGGACAGTCTTCGGAGAGATCGGACCCCGTGCGTCAGCGGATGAAGGATACTTCTTCGCGGTCGCTGGCTCGGGCGGCAGGCGGCAGGCGGCAACTTCCACGGGGAAGTAGGATAGGGTGTTTAACTCGCGCGGTCTCGTTTCGGTTCGGCGGTGGAAGATGGCGGCTTCTGCGGTGGAGCCGCGCGGTGTGGTTGCGGTGTATTTTTGAGGCTGCCGCCCCCAGCCACCACCGAGACCACCCTGGGTAACCTACCCCTCCGGTGGGGCGATCTCTCTCTCGCTTCCACGCCGCCGCCACCGCCGCCGCCGCCGCGCCGCCTGCCCGTGCCGGCCCGTGGTGGTGGTGTGCCGGGTGGGGGTTCGGTTTTTCCAAGCGGTGGGGAAAAATCTCTCTCTCCTGCTGCACCCTCTTCCACGAATATCCTGATGCTGCTCCTGCTGATCGCGACTACCCGATGACAACACCCCCTGTGTAGGTGTGTGTCCCTGTGCGCCGGCGGGCGCGTGTGTGTGCGGGTATCCCCCTTCGCTCTTTTCAACCACCTAAACCCTCCTACACGCGCCACCCACCGCCTGCCCGTCCCCTCTCTTCGGGGGGGTCTTCCTGTTGCCGCAGGATCGGAAGAATCGCGGAGGAATGTCTCTCGGCCGGAAGAACCTTCTGAATGGGAACCGGAATTTCTTTTACCAGACGGCCGATGTAATTCGAGCACGATTTTTCGGAGGAACGAGTCTCGAGATTATGATCGTAGGCTCTGAAGGATCGTCGATGTGAGAGTTTAGTGTTTCGCAGTTGATCACTAAGAGACACTGTCACAAGAACACGTGTGGTCCTCTATCGACGCGATCGGCGTCGCTGTTCGTTCCCGTGGCAGTCATATTGGAATAACTCTCAAGAGCAACACGGAATTTCACTTTCTCCACGCGAGAGATCGATCATGGTGAACTGAACTGATAGAGAATCACTCGTCGATGACACTTGTTTCTATCGGAGAACTTCACACTCACTTCAACTTAAAATTCCTCGGTCCCAGTCTCGTAGGATTAGGAAGTACCACTGGCATCTGTTCGTAGATGCAGACGTGACACGCGGGGAACTCATAGTACTCGAGATCCGTGGACTTCGATTGAAGTCCGATGCTTCGCGTCGGTTCTTTGAGATGGAAGGTCGAAGGTCTCCGCCTCGGTCGTGGTGTTTTCCTCGGGAAACGGGCGTGCTGCCGCAATTTCCACGAAGGAAAAAGGAGGATTCGCGCTCTGGCCTGTAATTACCGGGTCCCTCTGATCGTTTCCTGGCTGCGGTTCCACGGTACACCGATAACGAGCTCGCTCCTTTCGTCCAAGGTGGTCCCGGGGTTAAGACATCCCCGTCTCGTCCCCGTTTCCTCGTCTTCTCTCCCTGGCGGCCTCTCTTTCTTTTCGTCTCCTCGGGCCGGGTCCTTCCTGCTTCCGTCGTTCAACGAACTCCCCGCGCGAGACTGCAAAACGACACTGGGAAGAAAGGGAAAACAAAGACGGCAGAAAGGTCCCTCGTGTAGTTGCGTTTAGCGCCGAGGGACACCGGGGGGGTTGCGCGATGCTTGGGGGCTGTTCGAGGGTCGCGCGAGCGGAACGGGGATCGCTACCGTCGGAGAAAGAGGGGAATACTTTGTCTTAACACTTGAACAACTCCCACTGCATTTTTGCAATGTTTCTGGGCTATGGCTAGAAGAGCACAGCTGCATATTTGCAATGTCTCTTGACTATCACCGAGTGACTTACGCTGCATTCTTGTAATGTTCCTTGGCAATTGCTAGATAATCGTCACAGGAGCTTTGCAATGTTTCTTAGCTACTGCTACACGACCAGCATTTCAGTTTTGCAATGTTTCTTGACTATCATCGAGTGGCCTACGCTGCATTCTTGTAATGCTTCTTGGTAATTGCCAGATAATCATCACAGGAGCTTTGCAATATTTCTTAGCTACTGCTCACTAGCATTTCATGTTTGCAATGTTCTTTGGTTATCATCGAGTGACCTAGGCTTCATTGTAATGTTTCTTGGCAATTGCCAGATGATCACAATTTTGCAATGTTTCTTAGCTACTGCTACACGACCAGCGTATCATTTTTGCAATGTTCCTTAGCTACAGCCACACGACCAATTTTTCAGTGTTCCATTAACTATCATCGAGTAACCTAGTCTTCATTCTTGTAATGTTTCTTGGCAACTCCCAGATGACCATCACAGTTTTCCAATATTTCTTAGCTACTGCAACACGATCAGCATTTTATTTTCCCAACGTTCCTCTAGCACCTAGAAATTTCTATTTCCACAAAAATTCACAGCAGAATTGAAGTCAGCAGACTTATCCGACTACGGAGCACGAGTAGACGCGTTTCTCTTTCGACGTACGACAAAAGACTATCGATCATGTGACGGATCTGTAGCAAGTCACGAGGATCCCAGTACGGGAGAGGCCACCCCATATAATCCTACACCCCTATGGACAACAATGCAACGCCTCCGCGTCCCTAAATGTCGTGTACCCGAGATGCATTTCGTCATACATCGGACCCTCGGGCGATACATCGTCTTTTTTCCCCCACGTTCCTACATTTTTATTTCTCACCCCCTCCCTCTCTCGCTGCCTCGAGCTCTCGCTTTCGACACGCCATCCAGTCCGCTTAGGATCCCGACTAAAAGGAATGCAATAAATCCGTGATCGTTGTTCGTTCAACTGACAAGCGTTCAACGGAAAATTATTCACTTAATACAACCACGAACACTATCAACAAATCAAACCCAAGAAACAAGCTCCTATGAAATTAATACAAACAATCATCCAACTGATACTTACAGTTCCCTCTGAATTCTCTCGAGTTCCAAAGAATACACGAAATATTCGTAAAGACACCAATTCAGGAATATTCTCCGCCGCAAATGGTGTCCATCGGACAGCGAAGAAGGGTCACTCGAAAATTCCTCACGCGGCCGCGGGGACGACGGGGAAACGACGGGAAGAGTAAAAATTCAAGACGATCGTCGGTTGAATTTCAAAGTCGCGCTGCGGACACGAGCCGAATATCCAAGACAGAACCAGCGCGTGTATCGTCGGCACGAACGCTGTTCGGATATTTCGAATAAAAACCAGCCGCGCGGTGCGGAACGCACGCGTAACGCGTACGCGCGCGCGTCAGTTTTTCCCCGGTGAAAAACTGGTATTTAATTATACCGTCCGGTTCGACGTGATTTCCTGTAATTAAATCCTGTCGCCATAAAATTACCAGGTCGAAGCGTAGCGACGATATTTTTCAATTAAAAGAAAAATATATTCGATTACGTCCGGCCTGGGTTTCGCGATC